GACATGCTGGAGCAGCGTACTGAAGGGGACCCCATCTGAGTCAATACTTTGTCCAACCATTGTAGAGGTCCATTCAGATGAAGTTCAATCCAGCAAGGAGTGCTTGTTACTGTTTGCCGCCTAGAAAATAAAAGAATAAGAGGAGAGTCAGAAAGCAGTTTTGGTTGTCATAGAAGCTCTCCACCACATCATCAAACCTGTTTCCATCTGGATCTGCTACACAGAAAGATAAAAATCTGCAACCATTACCATAACTGTTACTAAGCTTTTTCAGAGAGTATTTGGAAAATAAACCCAAACCCCTAACAAAACAAGCCCAACCAAAAACCCCAAACACCCCACAACTAAGCCACATCAATAGTTACATGCTTGTCCATAATACATCAAGAATATTCTGCTCTGGAGAATAAGAGCTGAAGCTTTTCCTGTGGGTGCTGGAGCTTTACTTCTAAAGAGAAACTGACACCGGAAGGTTGTCCAAGCAATGTGTTGCTCACGTTACAGATGGCTGTGTACAGCTGTGTCTCAGCCTCCCAAGGGTGTGCAAGCACAACTGGTTTGAGCTTTGTACACAGCTCCTGAGAAACGTGGAACAGAAACACTCGACTGTGTGCTGTCAGCATGGCCAAACATCACAAAACTGTGGTGATCACAAAGCCTGGCTTTTTGGAGCAACTGAGAAGATACATGTCAGGAAACTGGGAGCTGTTGTCAGAAACACCATGTCAAAAAGCAGTGTGGGGTTATACTGTGCTGACTGACACTATCTCAAAGCAACACCAAACTTTATCTCTGACTCCCTGTCATCTTACACTTCTACACGTGTTTTGTACTGTAACATCCTCACACAAACAATTTAAAGATTGTGTTTCTCTTATCTTCCATATAAACCAGCCTAGAATTTTCAACAATAGATGCCCTTAATTTAACACCATATAGAAAGCCTCAGTAAAGCTGATGAGTTGACAACCATAAAAGCTTAATTCACCTTCCCATATATCCTTGTCTCAGAGATGTGGTATTCAGAAAACACTCTTCTCACCTCCAAAGCACAGAAATCAGTATTGGACATACTCTGACTGATAAATCCTGTTATTTCACTGTACTCACTCCAGGCATGGGAGTTTTCCCAAACTAGACTGGCAAGATTACTGTTGCTAAGCCAGTTTTTCCTAGTAATTCCAGCTATCCCAAAGTGAAAGCAAGGAGGCATTAAAGATTCAAAAGCAGCAGATTAGTCAGGCACAAACCCAGCCCCTTCATTCTTTACTGTTGGCACTGCAACCCTTTGCTTTAAGGAAATCTGTTTATATAAACAAAGGAACTGAAAGGGCAGAAGGACTGAACCAGCAAGAGGATGGATTTCAAAAGTTGTCTGTGGTTTCACATTTTCTAGGAGAAGAAAGCAGCTGGGGTCTGTGCTCTCTCATCACTCTATGAAAACATTGTTATCTTAGCCCCAAATGCCTATGCCAAAACAACATGATCCAATAGGAGAACAATCTAAACCACAGGAAATAATTCCATTTAGCCTCAAATCCTCTCCCCAAGAAGGAAGTTCATTATTCCACCGCTGTCAACTCCCCGACAATACGTTCCACAACACACTTCCTCAAAACTGCTGTTCAAGAACCTTTCCTTTGCACTACACTGACAAAAGCTGATAGAACAGTGACAGTCACTTGGCAGCCATCTCGAAGCTGAAGCTCAGACCATGGATTTCCAGTTCATGTACCACTAAGTCTCTTTGCTGTCATTACCTCAACTTTCTTCAGAAGATGATCCTAGACCTGGATGGTTCCTGTGAACACCTGTTCACTAATGTGAACACTTGTCTGCTCATCTGGACTTCTACCACCATCCTCAACACAACTCAACACATATCACGAGGAATAAAAGCTATAAGATGTTTACCAAGTTTGTAAAATCTACCACCCTGCCAAATCTGCACATTTAGGCACATACACCACTGACCTATAGTGCAGTCAGTGTTTTGGCTTTGCCAAAATCTGTTCTGTGAGAAGCATTCTTGACATAATGAAGCATGGAGATTTTAACAAGAATGATGGACTTTAAAGTGTCACCTAGTCCGTTTTGACAATTCAGACTGAGTTCATTTAAATTCAAGGTTGTGATTGCAACCTCTTCTTGCTTTAATCACAACTGCAGTGTAACTTACAAGTTTTGTGCATCAATAATTTATTAGCATTGTCTTAAACAGAGATGCAAAGGAACTAGTTCTGCATTATGTCAGTGACCAGTTTCTGTGCTGTTCTGGCAATGTTTCCACTGCAGTTTTTTCAACCCTGTGATTTCTGAATGGTTTATAGACTACTAGCAAACAACACAGACCCCTCCTTGGAAGTAATTTTACCAGAATTCTCCTCCACTGTTTTAAGCCAGCACTTTCACTCCATCCACTTCAAGTTGTCTCCATATAATCTGACTGATTAAGCCTTTCTTCTGTTCTGATTTGAATGTTGTATTTAATTATGCATAAGTATATACATACTCCTTTTGAGCCGAATCCAACAGTTCTTTAAACCCGAGCCAGAATCTTTCTTCTGTACTTCTTGCTAACAAAGAGCTACCAATTTATTCCATTACTCAAATTTCTCATTTCATCTAACTAGGCTATTACAAAATTGACTTCATTTAGCTGAGAAACCGCCCCCACTTACTGATGCTATTTACATGTATGTATTTCAAGAGCAGATGAAAGCACCAGAATTCCAGGATTCACACTGGAACTTAAATGGCATTCAACTCCAGAAACAATACAGACTCTTAAAAATCCTTAAATATTGCAATAGGGTATCAATAAGTCAGACTCCATTTTTTCAGTGGGCAATTTCTAGAGAGGTTTGAGAGATCTGTTGAAAGCCACATCTCTAGCTTCCCCAAAATAACAAAATCTTTAAGAATGCCCAGTTAGGAGTTAATTCCTTTTCTTCCCAAATTCCCATACTACATTAAAATCAGGCATTGTCCTCAACTATAGCTCTTAGTTTGTGTTAATAGAGAATACAACTGGAATCCATTAAGAAGCAGATAAAAGACTTTTTCACTCAAACTGTGTTTAGCAGTTGCATTACAGAAAACCAGTCATCTTACTCCTCTCCAAAGCTTTTTCCACTGCAAGTTCCAAAATACTTGCCATCCCTCAAATGCACGTTCTCCAGTTGTTTTATTCTGCAGAATGGACTCCAGGCAACTCCAGTTCTTTCTGTAGGGTACTATCGACTGCATCCCTCGTCACAGCCTAAGGAACTCATCATACTCTACACAGAACTGCAGGTCTAACAAACAGCAGCTCATCTCACAGCACAAACTGTGAAACCTCTCGGTGTGGTTGGTGGTTGCACCACAATAAGCAAGCAAGCAGGATCAAGTGAGGAAACAGAACTTTTGACAACATGCCTTGCTCAACAGCTGACGTCAATGCCATGCTAAAATCAGTTCACTGGTCTTTATGACTTAGGGGCCTACATGGCTGAGGGGGAGAAAGAAAAATATGGAGAAAGGAAAAAGGGTTTAACTTATAGACAGCATTATCTACAATACCAGTAAGAAGCCTGTATGTATGGTTTAAGCCAGGTAGAAATAGTGTGTTAGTGAAAGAAGAAAATTATTACATTCAGAGATTTAAAAGTAAAGCTTTTTCCTCACCTGTATTCAGCTCCCCATCCTTTAACAAAACTCATTCTTATGGTACACATTCTAGTAAGCTGATAAACTGCTTCAAATCCCTGATTCACAGATTGAGCCAGAAGAGCAGCAAATTCTTGGTTATTAAAGATTTTTAGATTGCACCCTGGAAGGGAATAAAAAAAGTCAAAAGGGCCCAACCAACGAGTGTTTGTGTTCGCTACGCTGAAGCCCAAAACTATGAAGAAACTACCAAAAGGGAAGCCAGACACGACTACATTCAGTGGATATTTTTATGGGAGAGCTCTGTCAGGCTACTCACCTGGTGGTATTTTGCATACAGTTGCAGGATGCCAGCCGTATCTCTGATTGCAGTTGGGGCTCTGAACAAAGATCGCGCTGTCGCTGAGGCACTCGGCAAAAACCTCTCCACCAATGTAATAGAGGCGTACCCCCCTTCCTGTGGCAACAGGCAGAGGAGCTCTAGTTAGGATATGAGGCAATCACACAACTAAATTGCACTTTTCTCCCATGAACACACCATATCTGAAGGAGGAGAGGAATAATTTTTGGTTAAGAAAGAATTTTCTAGCTATGTAATGGCTTGTAACCAAACCCAAGTTAGGAAGTGGGGTGCTCGCTACCAAATAACCTTCTAACTTAAATACTAAAATTGAAATAATAAGATTTGATTAGACAGAAATAAAACTTCTGCTAATAGTTAACTGTTGTGGGTGAAGTGGCACAGGCCACTGTGGCAAAAAAAGACAAGTACACCACTTCAACACTGCCCACTAACATGCACCCACACTATTTCACAACCCACTGCACACCCCTTCTCTGTACTACTTTGGTGAAAACAACAGGACTTCATTTAGACCTATGACAAAAAAATACCCAGAAGAAATCCCATTGTTTACTTTTAAATCCTGTGTTGCTCTCTCTCTCTCTCTCTCTCCAAGTGGAAAACAATCTGTATGGGTTATTCCTGGAAGTAAGGTAAGCAATGTACAATTGTTCTCCCCCCAGAAAAGTATTTCTAATTAACTGGTCCTTAACAAAGGTCATTGTTTCTCTTCCCTTTAATTTCTCAAACAAGACGTGAGCTGCTCTATAAAAAAAGTGAGAGCTCCTTATGTTTTGGCTTTTCCTCATCACTGATGATTTAGATTAGTCATCACGGGCAAAGCCTGGGTTTCTGCACATCTAAAGTCTTATTAGACAAGTATTTGGATTTGGCATGGAGGAAGTCAAGAGGGTTCTACTGAAAAGGCTGAATTTTTTAGTGGAAATATATGAATTTTGTTAAATAAAAGAATCCAGAAAAAAAAAAATTAGTTTGACAGACTTTTACCTATGTGCCGCCTTGTCATTTCCACTGTAGCATTTCTGTTTACGTTGGAAAGCAGACCTAGGCAAAATCGTTCTGAATTTGATGGATCTGTAAAGCCATCTACAGTCAGGGAAGGCTGTGATGCATGGAAGGTTTCTCCCACTCTTTGATTCAATTCATAATATGCTATTGAACACCAAAACGCAGGCTCCGAGTAAGTAACTGGTTGCAAGTCTACAAAAAAAATAATTAAGAAATAAGCTTAACACAGATTCCTTTTCAGCCTCAAATTCTATCTGCACTGCTATTCATCTCTTCCAGAAATGACACCAGTAGTACCCTTAAACTACTCAAATCAGATTCTGGTTGCTGTCATTTTTACCTACCCCCGTAGACAGAAAGGAATTCACTATTCCACACAGGGAAGGAGGAGGGGAAAGGAGTGATCTAATCTGACCACAGCTCATGTAGTTCAGTAATTGCATTTTGCTCAGCAAAATGATTAAGCTAATGTTGCTGTGAGTGCCAGATGTTGAGACATTTCTGTTGCCCTTCTGTAACCTGCAAACATTTTGGCAACGTTAAAGAAAATACTGAACCACCAAACACTGAACCACACAAAGGAAAAAATATCAATAAGAAAACTATGTTCCCTCATCCCTAGATCTTACACTGCCTCCTTATCTAAAGGCACTCTGCTCTCCTTGTACTTTCCCCTGCTAGAGCTCAGTATCTCCCCTCCGCATCTCCAGCTTTTCCTGTGCTGCTTCCCCTTTTTACCCACCCTGATTACTTACTCAGCACTCTGAACAGCATTTTCCTGTCACATCCCGTCACCATTCCCCAAACAAACCCAAGGGAACCTGATCTTCCTGAGGCATTTACACAGACACGCAGCAGTGGCACCTGATCAAAGCAGGTGGGCAACTAACGTGGGAGCAACGGTCGTGTTGTGGCCGCAGGTGGAACAGTGCATGAGAGGAGCAGCACAACACACTGGTGAGGGAGACAGCAAGTCTAGGCAGCACTATGGATAGGCTAATGTCCTTTAAACTATTTATTTTATAAATGCAGTTCCCACACACACAACTGTATTATTCTCTCTCTTTGCTAGATTCCATCTCTTTGATAGAAGCTCAACACTTACAGAAAGAGATGAGTTATTAACAAGCTATTAACCCAACCCTATTATGTTCATCATCAGGAAGCCAGCCAAACAGTGTCCTCCTAATACAGCTTTTTTTTTTTAAGTACATTTTCATTTTTAGTGTTAGTATATTTATAAAGAAGAGTCATTGCACACAGAGAAACAACTGAAAGTATTTGCAGCTTACCCAAGCTATGGTTAACTGGGGAGAGAGTACTAGGAGACAGCTCTGCTGGAGATCCTGTTGAAGCAATACAGATTGTTTCAGAGCAAATGATTCTTGTTACTTCAGACTGGTAGGCATGACCACTATCTAGACACAGCTGTACATTAAAATACTTTGGAAAAACAAACCTCAGAAATCCCAGAACCAGTTTTCCAGCATGCCACATTCTGAATGCTTATTCTGAATTAAGATTACAATTAATTTTCCAGACTCCTGAGAATCTAGCCCTCGTCATAAAGACTCAATTAACATCTTAGCATTGTAGTTGGCAGAGCTCTCACTTATGCACACTCTGTGAACATAACTATTTATGCACTTCTGCAGTGAGAAGATGGTGACTTCTTCCCAAATTCAGAAAGAACAAGCTAAGAAAAAGTCCGTGACACATTCAAGATATTACCTCTCTATTCTCAAAGGAGAGGGTGTATCTCTAGAAAAGAATAAGCTGGATTTCCTCATTTGAGGAAATTATTTTATCCTGGATGGAAGAAGGTGTTATCATGAGTGGAAAAAGGGGGGGGGGGGGAAAATCACAAAAACACAAACTCTCCAACATAATTTGTGTGCTAATAGGCAAAGTACAGAAAAGCTTCACAGAGAAAAATTCCTACAAGGACTACTGATGTCAGGTTTTTTCAATTAAGGCACCTATTGTCACATAGTGGGAAAATATTGCAGTTTTTACAGAAAGTGGTGCAGTTGATTCCAGTTAACTGAAAAAGGTTGCTAACATTAGCTAACCAAACACACACGCAAGCCTGCCAGCACATAGCAGGAGGTTCTTACCCAGCACATTAACTGTGCTTTGTCCAAGTCTAAGGCCAACCAGATTATCTAGAAATCCTTCTGTACAAAGGCACAAATGCTTCATGTTTCTACTACTCTTTCAATAGAGCCTTCTATGCAAGAATTAATTTGAAACATGGCAGAAGTGATAAGTAGCCAGAGTTCAGACACAGGTTCTCAAAACGCAGCATTTCTGCAACAGACATTCTGCTTCAACAAACCCAGTTCCAGAAGGTAAAAGTTAGGGACAGGCTGACACCAGTCAGGTATTAAAATCTATTTTAAGGCTTTCTGATGAAGATTTTATTAGATCTGTATGCTTTTGTTATGAAACAAATGAAATAATATGGCACAGAATGTTTTAAAAGCATTTCCCTAGCAAAAAAAAAAATTTTCAGAAAAGACTGAAAGTGATACTTTACACTGAAAACACCAGCTTGTACAAATGGCTGCTGCCATCACTCTTTGGGCTGAATCCATGCTACTGTGCAGAGGGATCACAAATAGCAATCCCAAATCTTCAGAGGAGTGAAAAAAACTAATTTTTACCTGTATCCATGCTTTGGTTCAACTGCTGGTCACTCGTTTCTCCATCTTCACTGATATATCCTGGGGGTGGTGTTTCTACAAAGGAAAAAAAAAATCCATCTATTGGTTCAATGACTGAGGAAATATGTAAGATTTAGCACGTGGGGTTTTTGTGCCCAAGACTCCACAAGCTCCATAAGATACCTGAACATTGAATTAAAATTTCACGTTGCTGACCCGTTTTCTTCTTCCAGCAGGACTTCAATCCCATTACCTGCCTTACTGTCTGCATAAGCTGCATCACTTCTTGTATGCCAGTTAATTGCTCAAATATGTTATATAATTATTGGATAACACTTGTTTGTTCCATCTAAGACAAGATCCTTTCACTACAATGAGTAACAATTTTGCAGTTGTGATCAACAGCTTTCTCATTTAGTAGAATTACAAATGAAAAAACCATCTGGTGACTTCCACAGAGAAAAAAGAAGGCTGTCTGTATGTAATACAACCATCAGATCAGATACCCTCCCACGCTTTACTGAATTGGCTGGATTTAAAGGTTATTCTTCAGTCCCCAAATCCATCTTCCTCAATACCCAACAGCTAATTTCATGCATTAATTATAACCACATTATCTAACTAGTTACACTGCACAAGCTCTATCACATCATTATTTTAACAGAGTTCAGAAGTACTAATAATAATCATGTCTTCCTTCAACTAGCTTTCTTTAAAGATAGGAGTTTCACAGACCAAAGTAAACTCAGCAACAAGTTTGAAGCATTCTGACACTAGAAACTGTGTCCAGTTCCACAGAAATATCTTCAAAACCCAGGAGAGTATGACTGTTCCTTTTCTCTATTAACAATGCACTTTGTAATCCAGATAATGAGTTAACCAACTGCGTTTCAGGAAATAATTTTCTTTGAACTGGGCAAACATCTTTTCCTATATATTAAAAGCAAAACCTGATTTCTTCAGTGAAAGTGTTTGAAGCTAACTATCCCTAAAATCACCTTAGAATTGTCGCCAAGGCATCTGAGGGATTAACCACATCTAATTACGTTATTACCAAACGGCAGAAATTTAAAGATAAAGCCTTTTGCTTAAGAATTAAAATCAAATTAGATCAACTATCATGTCTGAGATTTACAGCAACATAGTGAGGTCAGAAGCAAGTCAGCAAGAGCAAAGTAGATTAAGTCAGTTGACTAAAAAAGTGAACTGAAAGAATTAAATCTTTGGTTCATTCTGTAAGACTAGTGTGCTAAATATAGATGTGAGAAAATTCAAGTGAGAATCTAAAAAGGGAGATTAAGGGAAATCTGCACTAGCAAGAAGTATGACAACGAAAATCATACCTGTTTTGGACGTTTTTACAGAATTCATTGTGATAAAGTGGACTCCACCCACCTCCAAATCATTCATTACAGTTAAGCCCATAGCCATGGTAAGAGGTTAATAACCATTCCCAATCCAACCCACGCCTCCTGTTTCCAGCTCCTAATCTAGGCTCTTTGGCACCAATTCTTTTCCATATCTAGCCTCTGTCTGAACAGAGAAGATTTCCTCCACCTAGTACTATTAATACTGTTGTAAGGTCAGAGGTTGGCCACCACCACAGCTGGAAATAAATGCCACACCAGGAGAGTGTCTGTGACGAAGAGAAAGAGGCAAGGTGTGGTTAGATGCATAAACATTGGAAGATAATTTGAATACCGGCAATCACCTCCAACAGACTCCCTGCAAATAACCACCTAATTGCTTTACCCCATTTCCACAGCACTGGGTTGTCAAACGGTGTCTTTCCAGTAAGTTACTTGCAAATGCTATCAAAATCCCTTGGATCAAGTCAAAAAAGGATGCATAAATTAAGAAAGCAACACCAACTTCTAGCATCTTAAATTGCTCTTTGAAGATCTGCTGTCCGTAGGTGGCAATGAAGGTGGCACAAATTAAACAAATGAGGTGAAATGAATTGAATTTTTTTGGGTGTCATTTCAATTCTCAGACACATTTAAGGAAAACACAAGCAACACCCCATTTATGACACAGGTACAATTTGTACATTGCACATATTTGCTTTCCAATGCTGTCATCTTATTCTTCGAGAGAGCCCAGACCTGAATTTTCAGCTTGTTTGTAACATAGCTGGATTAAACTTCAGCTTTGCTTGGTTTCACACTCCAGGCAACTTCCTGGAGAGACAGGAAACAGGAAGCTATGGCAGGAAGCAAATGTCACAGATTTTATGTTTCAATAAGGGTACAGGCTTTTGGGTGCACTGTAGCCTGCAAGTCTTGGTATTTGTTTTGGTGTGGGGAAGTGGCTAAGAAGAGGAATTCTAAGAGTTCAATATTGTCTGGTTGTTCTTTAAAAGACAATTTTTGAACTAAAACTACTAATACTACTACTGCTGAATTTTATACTAAAAAGATAAAGCTCTCTGCATACAATAGTAAACACACAAAGCAGACCTTGATTGATTGTGACCTACAGATCAAAACACTTAAGTCACTGTTTTGCCACTTAAAGAGTTTTCTCCACATACTGCACGTGGCGAGTACAGTACACAGCATTTGGCAACCTCCATATGTTTGTAAAATAGGCTTAAAGCTTAAGGTGAAGGCCTGCTTTGTACTTGTTAGCATTCTGAATGTTAAATAAGCTACTGAAACCAACTAAGGTATTGTGAAACCACAGCAATGTGGTTTCACACAGGATCGTGTTCTGCTAACAACAGCGTTCAGGTATTTCCACTGGAATTCACACATGGAATCAGCTAGATTTAATTTGTTGGCGAATCTTTCAATTAATTTGATCACTTAGGAGGATGAAATGACCCGTCTTTGTTCCAGTGCAACAACGTGAAGCGTGCTGTTGGCAGTGGGAGTTAAGAAAATACCTGGTATGTAATTGCTCTGTGGTTCAATTCCAGCTGGAAAGTTAGTGTTTTCAGGAATGGAATGGGTATAGTCATCGAGAGGCGGGAGCTCCGTGAGAATCTCCGTGTGCCGTGGCACTAGGACAGGAGGCAAGACTGGAAAAGCAAAATTCAAAGCATTAGTAAGACCTTCAAAATACATGCTACTGTAAGCTAAAAGGAAAAAAAAAAAAATCTAACAACTTCTTAATAGGTTTTGAAATTTTTTGGCTCTCAGTGCTGCTAATACTATAAGTGTACTGCTAATTACTAGAAGAACCAGATTCCTGGGTGCCTCTATTCCACCACTGCAAAAGGTAAACCTCTCTCCTCTTCGTTTCAGTCTGGACAACACTTTGCCAGCTGAGAACTGCTAGTGGTACTGGAAGTGATCAGGGGTATTGGTAAAGATTTTTCACTAACTTTACCATTAAAAACTTCCAGGGGATGATTCCCAAAAGCTGTGTCTCTAAGAATTTTGTAATTCTGGCAAGAGAAAGCATCATCATCTTTTTTTAATTAATTATTATTATTATTTTTATTTCCCCCACCCAAAACACTATTCTTAACTACACACAGACGCAGCTAGAGAAAATCAGAAGCAGACTTCCTACCTGGTGTTTCCACTCTCTGGTAGTGGTAAGGGTTTACACATACTTCATCCTTTTTAAGATTAAAAGCATATTCACAGTTCTCAATTGCTTTGAGTTCATGGTGGCTGTGGAGGTCTGGCCAGCGCCAGAGGCGGCAGGAGATGACGTGGGGCAGTCCTTTACGGTGAGACACCTGCAGACGGCCATCCAGAGACCTGCAGGGGAAAGATGGTGAGAGGGATTTACAGACTGCACGCTCTCTCTGAGTCACTCAAGCAACAGTGCTACACGCAGGGGATGGGGAAGTTGATTTACTCTCAGAATTCAGTGGCCTGACACTGTTAGTGACATTTATGCTCTTGTTAAAGGGCTTCGAATGCAACAAAAATGATGGTATCAAGCAGTGTCTTAGCTTATTTTTGAGCTGCTCAAATTATTGCCAGTGAATTTAGAGTTCATTAAAAGCCACTTTACCTCCAACCAAGTATTTAGGATGATTGCTTAATATACTTTTTAAATGTAAAAGACAGCCGTTAAAAAGAATAAATCAAAAAAATAATCACACACTTAATAGTCCCTTCCACTGCTAAACCTCAAGGCTTTGCTGTGGCATGGATGCTTTAGGGCTTTAAGCATAAGAATTCCCACAGGACTGCAAATAAGCCTGTAAGCAGTCAGCTGCCCAAGTGATCCACATGGCAGTGTAACCGTAAGGCAAAAAGCATGAACACGCATCTCGTGAGGGCTGGACAGTTTATCTTCTTCACTTCATCTGCCTTGCTACCAGCTGAAAACGTTTTGCTAGTTTTAAGACAGACTGCATATGCTTACACAAATGCAGATGTTTATGATTGTTATGGGATGGGAGACAAACCTTGATACACAAATCAAGTAATGTGACATGAAAAAAATAAAGACCCTGTTTAGAATTTGCCCACCATTAACTACTGCGGAATTGACAAGCAATTCTTTAGTAGCTTGTATCTGAGCCAATTAGCAAGATTTAACTGAGAGCTTGTAGCATACAAAGCAGTTTAAACACTTTGTAAGATCAGGTCTAAAGAATTAAGTTCCCCAACTTCATTAATATAAATACCAAATCACATTAGAGCTTGCATTTAACAAGTCTTCCCATTCTTTCAATAGCACTGGCATCAAAAAAGGAGTATTCCAGAATTAAGAGTTTCATTGGTCAAAACATCAGCTGAGAACACTTGGATTTCTACACTGGCAAGCAAATATTTTAAAATGCTGGACCATGAGAGGCCTAGGAAGCATTTTAGTCTATTTTACAGCTAAAGCATCCCATTACAGACCCTCCAAAGCCAATCCCTCCCACAAGGTTTCTGTGATGCAAGAGGGCAGAATATTCACCTGGTTTGTTCAGAGAAGCTGTAAAGGCCTGTTGTATCCCACTGATCTATCGTGTTGGGTGTATTCAGTCCCCAAATTTCAGAGCAAGTGCTGTGCATAAATTGAAAACAAAACCAAAAATGATATGAATATGGAACACAGTTATTCAAAATACCATGATTTCAAACATGGAAAAAATGTACAGAATACTTCCTTTCACATAGAAGATAGAGCATTATTAGACTTACATTTAAACTGACATCTCATGCTATATTTTCTATATGAAGGAGGCTATCAAAATGGAACACGTGACTCAAGGCAAATGATAATGTTTTTAAAAGGTGAACAAGTTTTCTGGTTTTAAGTAGTCAATACAGTTGAATGTTCCTTAAAACGGGCAAAACTTCCTCAGCCTAGCTCTTAACAAAAGTCAGTTTTAAAAGGTAGTTTCTGGGTTGGGTCTCTTGTTTTTGTTCATTTTTAAACCTAAGCCTCCCTAACACTTCAAACAAAGGCCACGTGCATCTGAAACAACATCACCATCTAACTTCCAGGGATCATCACTTCAGCATTCATCTCGTTCTCCGTGCACATACTGATTTGCTGCTTTTCCCAAACCAGGAAAATCTGGACTCTGAAGAAAAGTACATTGTAACTGACACTTCTCACTGTTCTCTGTACTTGATGAAAGAATTAAATATTATTTTCCACTGTATACAGAACACAGAAAGTTTGAGACAGTTTTACAGTATAAGACTTCACTATAACAAAACTTTAATTGCTACATTAAGCAGGAGGAAAGGAGAGACAATTCTTTACCAACTGGTTCAATGACAACAGTGAAGAAAAAGGACCCTTCAGTCACAGGCACAAGCTAAAAGCAACAGCAGATTTAAGCAAAGCAAGAAAAGCAGTCCAGGCCTGTGAATGGGCAGCTGACTTTCAGAAGCATCAGCTCTCTCACAGACCTGCCCTGTGGCCACTGAAAACTGACAGTCTATTTTATGTAAGTAACACACAGCTAGACTTTGTACCTCAGAAATACAGAGAATTTGGTTCACAAGCAGCTTACATCTTCACCTCCTAATTACAAAGCCTGAAGTTTGAATGGCTGCTACGTTACCTTTAAAATTAATAGCCTAGGAAAAGTTGCAACAAAGAATCCCAGTTCACTAAACTCCTGTTTTTAAGTACAGGTGTTGGTTGCTATTTAAATCCAATCTACTAAGCTTAGCTGATAAACTCAAAAGTTTGGATTGAGTGCTTCAAGGAAGAGAAGTGAGGTAGGTATTTATTTCTTCTCCCTACAATGAGAAAATTCACCAGTGCTATGAAGCAAAAGGGCAGACAGCACAGTACTGTGCTTAAAAATCACTTTCAGGGCTGACAATCACTTCAATTCTACAGTAACTTTAATAAAACATAAATCTGGGCTACTGGTGAAGGGAACAAAAGGTTCTTGTCCCCTTCTTGCCTGTCCCACACACCTCATGTCTAATGCCATCCCAGGGAGGCCGAAATGTCCTTGCAAACCAAACCAGTAAACTGGCTATCTGACCACAGAATGCATATGGCTGAAAGTTTATGTTTGGACAAGTAATTTTCAGCCAGATCAATTCTTCTATTCCCTGTGGAGCTACACAAGCACTACAGCAGAGTAATCAGAATGTGACTATGGGTAGCAGCCTGCACCTACCACACATAAAAATGCAAAATAAAATGTGGCATTTGACATTTTACTCATTGTGGACACAAGTAAAATCCTACAGTAGAGGACCTTTTTGTCTAGCAGAGAGCAGCAGAGAGCCACATGTGAGGGCCTGTTCTGTGATACATATCCAGTGCTTCAAAAATGCCAACTGCCCTGCACAGGTTACATCCATCTCAGACGCAGGCAGCATCAAAGCCCTCCAGGAAGAGTGAGCTGAAGAGGGATACTGACCATCACTGCATCAGTAGAGCCTGCAACCTGCAACACCTCCAGGTGTTTCCCAAGACACCTCCAGGACAGAGGGCTGCCAGAAGCTGCACAGAGACTGAAATGCTTGCCCTGAGGACACACAGGCAGCCTGTGGGACACCAGGGAGCATCCCTGCACTGTGCAGTGCCCTCTAACAGTCATCACCACTGCTGGCAACAGAGATTATCACGCACATTAAATTAGAAGAACAATCAGCAGGCACAAAGCCTGCTGCATATTAATTGACAGAGTCAGCTCTGACAGCTTACTACCTTTGAGCAATGGATCCTCTACATAAAGCAGTGAGTGCTCCAAAGCTGACGCTGTCACACAGATGACACGTTCCCAAAATTGTGGGGTGCATCACTGGTGTAAGCACGGCACGCCACGCATTTCCCTCACAAGACGTTCAAGGCAGCACATGCACATGTAAAACTTCACAGACCTTGACAGAGCATGAGGAACAGGAACAGAGGAATGGTATTTTATACTGCTAACCTCTTCTTGCTATAAATATTTGACCTATCAGAGCTGACGGCGTATTCCATAGCCTATGGAAAGACAAACAGTGTCCTGATGTGGCTGTGTGATGGAGCCACAGCTTGCAATGAAACTCAGGATACCACTGAGGGAGGGATGCCTGCTTACAGCTGGTATTAACATCAATGTTTTACTTGTTATCTACACTAGGACTATACTCCCAGCTCCGATCCTCCACAACTAAATGCTGAAGACCCTGCAGGAAATTATCCTGTGTGTGGAATAAAGTTGCTCAACACAGTTGTTACTGTTCACTGGAAGCCAAAGCTGAGGAAATGAAGTGGCCTGCCCACGCTCCTCTGCTCGCATAAGAGATCCACTGCCTAAAAGATGCAAGACCATCCCTTCTCACGTCACCCAGACAGTAAAGTAGGGCTCTTAATATTCACACACACGCACACCAAATCAGAATGAAATTCCTCACAACCATAAAAAGCCACTTCATATGCTGCACTTCCATGAAAGGCCACAGTATCTTCATTCATACGTAAGCAGCAGCCAGATGGAGGGCAGGCTTGCCTGCTCATCCCAGAAAGGTGCTGGCTGGAAAGAAGGTGACTGTATTCTGAAAGATGTTTAAACAACCACTAAAAACAGCTAGAAGGATACAGGAGGTACAGGCTTTTTAGTAGTACAGAATTAATGCCCCAAAATAAACAGGCCTCCTCTCCTAAACCTACCTTCCTGAAGCGTCCTAAACCCCTTGTGATGTGGAGAGTCCTTCTGTGCATTAGTCCGTAAAGAATTTAGAACAATCAAGGACGAACATCTGCACTCATAAGTTAAGTCTTGTCTGGAAACATTCCCAGGCCCTGGAACACAATCGTGTATGCCAGAAAGCAGCCAGGACATTCCCCAGCACTGGGCCCTGCCAATTGCTGTTCTCCCACACAATTCCCAGGTTTGGGAGTCTCACACCACCAGGACCACTCGTGCTGGGCAGCTCAGATGCACCCACACTGCCCTGGTAGCCGAGAGTTTAACAGTGGGGAGGAGGCAGCCCTGAGCCAGCTGGCCACGGGGACTTGGAACATTCCCAGGCACATTTAATTTATTAGGAGGGAGGCAGCCAAGACATATCACCATTTCACCTTGACTAAGCAAGACTGCCTTCAAAATGAAATCTAGAGACACACTTCAGGCTTCCTGTTGTACCAACAGAGGTTTTTTTTGTCGTTGTTTTGAACTCACTGTGTATACTGCAGCACTGGTAAGCCACCATTGTTTCCAAAATACAATTTGGCTCCTGCATCCGAGCTGTACTTAAATCTTTCCTGTGTAGACAGCACTTTAAATATACTCCAAAGCACAAGGTTAAAGCTCACACACTTCCACCCACCAGAGCGGACACTTTCCAAGGAGCATTTTCATCATGGTTCTCAAAACACTTTGACTGAAACGAGGTCAACTATACAAAAGATAATATTTTTATCTTTTCAGCACTAACTTTCATTAGCAACTCACCATGTTCTGTGACTTCTAGCACTCCCAGAGCAAGCTTGCTTGAATATCAGATTGGTGCTTTTGCAGATCCCATAAAATAAGGGAATTTATTATAAGGGACTTCAGGGATATGAAGCATCAAATTGGCTCAGTTTCCAGGTGTTCTGAAGTTCTAACAAAAGAAAACTATTTCCTAGAGAAAGAAGAAATGCTGAAAGGATACTTGCAAGGAGTAGCAACTACTCTGAGACTTAGGAATTTTTAGAGAAAAGTTAAAGCCTAGCAGATATCTGGTTAAGCTGCTACAGACTAAACCTGGGACAGCTCAGTCCCACAGTTCCCACCTCAGCACTGACCAGAGGACTGATGTGGCGAGGAAAGGGTCAGACAAGTTACTACTGGGTGGAACCAAAGCTACTTCTGTGAGACCTTTTCCCTATGTGGAAAGGGTTGCAAGAGCTGGTGTTTCAACCTGACTTTTCATCTGCTTATAAGGAGGAATATCTCAGATGATACTGTACAATTCTGGCAAGAATAATTTTTCACGTGGCTATCAGCGTGCAACAGCTCACAGTATGCCTTCACTTCTTCCATTTCATCATTTCCTTTAACAGGAAAATCTGAGTTCCAAAAACACCCTAACTCTGGGCAACAAATTACCTAAACAGCAAAGAGCCATAGCAATGCTTCACATTTTTGAGACCAAGTGCCAAAACTGCCTTTCTTCTGTACTGACACACACCAGAAAAATGTGGATGCAGGAAAACCCTAAATATCAAAGATAACCAAAAAGTCTTTGCATTGGCTAATCTACATATCAGGGATGATGTCTCCCATCAGCATCAACAGTGCAAACTATCTTAGTAGAATAACAGTATCTGTAAATCTGCCACAAACCTGGACTATCAGGTCCCAGTTCAGAGACAGGTGAAGAATGAATGTGGACAAACACAGCCTGTGCCACACTCATGAGTGAGCAATATGACTGCTTGCTTTAATGTAGGATATCCCTATTGGAGAAATCAAAGTCTGTATCAAAATCTGTCATAACCAGATACAAATGACACAGGATGAAACAGTCTGAAGTAACACGCTACAGTCACATCCAAGAGCCCAGGAATACAGATGGACATCATCTCAAAGGGAACACACTGCCCAGAAAGATTCT